GTGGGGTGCTAACACCTTCCCCACGCGTAACCGACTCCCTTACCCAACTCTGGTTGTAATGGCCAAAGTTGATTTATAAAATCAATTGCCTTATCCCTTTTTCCAATGTTTTGAGTAAAACATTGGTGGCGACTCCACGAACCCTCCTTTTGCGAAAACCACTAATCCATAGAGGGTCCCGCTTGGGATTAATATGGATTGGTGAGACTTTTAATAAATAAATTGGATAAGATCGACAAGGTCTCAGTTTGAGAACAAGTCTTTCTAATAATCCAATACATTTTCAAAACTAAAATAAAAGCGAGCACGACCGTCTTCGCGAATGCCGAAGGCCCGTTTGGGCCGGTGGCGACAAGGCTAAATGAAAAATATAAAAGAAATCCTACCATCTAGGGTACCTCAAAATACAAGGGTAAAATGAGAAATAAAAGTAATAAATCCTATACTACTAATGATAGGCTTAAGAGAGGATCAAAACTCTACACACATGATGAGCATAACTCTAGACATGGTGTCTCTTCTATCATCCTCTACTCTCCTAGCCATGCACCTAGTAATGAGTCTCACATTAAGCTCCAAGGGTGGTCCTCCATCACTTTATCAATCTCCTCAAGCATCGCCATGCATGGCTACACTGTTAATCACCATACAAGCTAGTGTATAAAATATATCATGCATTCCCTGTTAATCACCACATAAGCCAGGTAATGCATTCCTTGAGAGTCTTGTCAGGATAGTTAAGTCGCGCAAGATACATCCCATGCACACAATGGGCGAGACTGGGACTTCCAAACTGAGTTATCCCAAGGACTAATCTCCAAAGCTTTTACACTAGGGGGCCTTCTCTGGCGGTGTATTCCATATTGTACCCTTAAAAACATTTATGCACATGATGCATGTCAATCAAGACTCTATGCATTCTTATATCACATTATTATTATCACATCTCATCATCACATTTCATCATCATATTCCATCATCATATTTCATCATTACCACATCACATTATCATGTCTCATTATCATATCACATTCACAATTTTCAGAGAGCACTTTAATTCATATAAAAACATATTCATTTTCAAAATTAACCACATACTCATGCATCACATCCAACAAGGAACACAAAAAAGCAATCAGAAGCCAAAACAGAAAACATTCATATTTTGTCCGTTTTCTCATAGAGTTTCCTGTAGAAACCCACAGAGCACTCTAATTCATATAAAAACATATTCATTTTCAAAATTAACCACATACTCATGCATCACATCCAACAAGGAACACAACAAAGCAATCAGAAGGAAAAATAGAAAATATTCATATTTTGCCCATTTTCTCATAGGTTTCCCGTAGAAACCCACAGAAATCTCAAATCATACAATTACAATTTTAAAACTGAAATTAATCATTCATTCAAGCAATTTATACAATTAATTACATACAAGAGGGACAATAGATGAAACAGATACAATTAGGGAAAACCCCTCATACATGAGCATACAACAAACACAGGATTGAAGGTCAATCCCACTACCCAACGTACATTCCCACACCCAAAGTAAGATTTCTCACTCCCTCCTTACCTGGATGAGCAGAAGACGAATGGTCTTGGTGTGATCTAAGATCGTTCTTGAGGACTCTTCCTTAGAGCTCTTTGTTTCTCCTTTTTTTTTCCTAACCCTTCAAAACGTAAATGAGGCAGATAGGGTTAACGCTATCTGACTCCTTTCTTAAAAATAATCCATTGGGCTGGGTCAACCCAACCCATTTTCCTTCTCTTCTAAACCACTTCTCTTTTTCCTCAAAATAATTAAATAAAATAAATACATGTATATTATAAAATATTTTTCCTCTATAATAATAATATATTTCTGACCCAAAATATAATAATATAATTTCAATAACAAAATATCATATAAAATCAACCTTCTCTTAAAACATATAAATATTTATTTAAAAATGCTAATAAAAATACTTATTTAATACGTACAAAATAATTTTCCAAAACAATAATTATTTAAAACGTACAAAATAATATTCCTCTATAATTATTAAAATAATTATGACCAAATATCATATAATAATAATAATAATAATAACCTTTTTGAAAACTGGGGTGTTACACTCTCTCTCTGTCTATCGCCTCCTCTGACTCCAACTTCATAAATTTCCTTTCTTCGATTCTTGTAACATATATTTTTCAATTTATTTTTGGTCTTTTGGGTGGTTTAGTTTTATTTTTCTGTACATTTATAACTTCCTTCCGTGGTAGCCGCTAGCAGTTGAATACTGGATTTGTTCAACAATTTCGGAGGGCTTTCTCTGTTTTCATTAGTAGAGTTTTTGATTTTGGGAGAAGCAAGGAGAGAAGACTTTTAGGCAATATTTGAGTGTTATTACCCATCAAACAATTGAGGTTTATTGCATGTTTGAATAATTTTCTCAATAAATACTTATCCGAGCATGGCCTATATATATATATATATATTTAAAACTTCATATTTTTAACTATTTGTTTAAAACTCTTTTGCCAAACCCTTAAACCCTCGCTTGCTTGCCGCCTAGCACTTTAATAGCCTCGCAGCACACTCTATCCCATCACCCGCCACCGTTTTCCCATCGCTTCACTGGTAACTTTCTCTCTCTGTGACACCCTCTACCCCACATACCATAACACAAATAACAAAATTTGAATAACATAACATTTCATAATTAAAATATCAAACGTGTTCAGATAGAGAGTACCACATCCATAACTTAACAAAATCAGCGAAAATTACAAAGAAATAAAACTAAAGTTTCCAAAATAATTTAATAAAAACATCTTAATCTAATCCTATCTACGCCCGATGTCACATGTCCTATCAGAGCAAATCCCAATATAGAAGCCTAAGCTTCATCACCAACATCTTCAGCCTCATGCTGATAATAACCTATAAGACAATCAAGGAAAAATAACACAAGAAAAGGGAGTGAGAAACATCTCACTCTGACTCACAATGTAGAAATACACACCGGATAGCCAAACATAAACAAGATAGGTATAGCATAGATATATTAACAACGATATTACATCTCACTCATCCAAGACATAAAAATATCAATTTACCATATAACATTGAAAATGCACATGTATGGACACGGACTACATATTATCATGCATGTGGCGCCAGTAAAACATCACATGGCATATTGTCGCTAGCAATACACGAAGAGTAATCTAGGAGTACATGCCGGGTCACACCCTCTGCGCACTCTCACTAGAAGGACATACTACCAGAGTCTTGTCAGGATAGTTAAGTCGCGCAAGATACATCCCATGCACACAATGGGCGAGACTGGGACTTCCAAACTGAGTTATCCCAAGGACTAATCTCCAAAGCTTTTACACTAGGGGGCCTTCTCTGGCGGTGTATTCCATATCGTACCCTTAAAAACATTTATGCACATGATGCATGTCAATCAAGACTCTATGCATTCTTATATCACATTATTATTATCACATCTCATCATCACATTTCATCATCATATTCCATCATCATATTTCATCATTACCACATCACATTATCATGTCTCATTATCATATCACATTCACAATTTTCAGAGAGCACTTTAATTCATATAAAAACATATTCATTTTCAAAATTAACCACATACTCATGCATCACATCCAACAAGGAACACAACAAAGCAATCAGAAGCCAAAACAGAAAACATTCATATTTTGTCCGTTTTCTCAGAAAAGTATAACTTACATTCACTATAAGCCATTGTGATGTTGATGAGTTTCCTTTAGCAAAAGTACTAATTGATGGAATTTCTTGTGATGAACCAACATTGGAAGTTGTTTCTTTTGAATACAACTTAACATATTCATTATATAGAGTATATAATTTGTGCTTCACAGCTTTCAACTTTGCTTGACAAGCTATTGGATCAAGACCAAACTTTGAATAACAAAACTTCAAAAATTCAAACTTAAAATGAGGATCTAAAATGCATCCAAAGGAAAGCACAATGCTATATTCACTTCAATATTTATCAAATTTCCCTCTCATTTCACTTGCGATGACTCTAATCATCTCATCTTCATTTGAAATATTTTTAATCAACAAGCATTCAATTTTCCACACTTGCATGAAATACAAATTAGATGTGAGATAAGAAGAACCAGATATCAATTCAGTGATTTGATAGAATGGACGCAAAAATTCACACATTTTTTCTCCTCTATCTCATTCTTCATTAGTAGGACAAATCAAATAGCTTATATCTTCAAATGCAAGACTAGTAAAAGCACATCGATACAAAAGTGCACTCTCAAGCATCAAAAAGGTTGAATTCCACCTAGTAACAACATCTAAACACAAACCCATCTTTGTATTAATACCACCAACTTTAGCAACGCAAGCTTTAAAAGACCTCATTCTTCCCTCTGACCCTTTAACATACTTGATGCTTTCTCTAATTTTATGAATAGCCCGACCAGCAACTTTCAACCCTTCTTGAACTATAAGATTTAAAATGTGAGCAACACATCGAATATGAAAAAATTCACCACCACACAATAAACCATCATTTTGCAAAAGAAGTCTTTCCTTCAAATAATCTTGCATTTTGTCATTGGAAGAAGCATTATCCAAAGTTAATGAAAATATTTTTGTCTCAATCCCCCAATCTTCCAAGAAACCATATATGATTTTAGCCATTTCACGCCCAGAATGTGGAGGAGGAAAATGAGAGAAATTAAGCATTTTGCTATGCAACTTCCAATTTTGATCAACATAGTGTGCAGTCAATGAAATATAACCCTCTGTAGTACAAGAAGTCCACACATCTGAAGTCAAGTTTATTCTGCCAGGAAGTTTAGACAACACTAGTTTCAATTTTTCTTTTTCACACTCATACATTTTGTTTATATTTGAAGTGGCCACACGCCTAGATGGTATCTTAGCATCAGGATGCAAATATTGTATCAACTCTCTAAACCTCTTACGTTCTATAAAAGAGTATGGGAGATCATGTTCTATTATCATCATAGATATCATGTCATTTAACACATTTTGATCAATTATTCTACTCCTTATTTTTCTAGAATGATCGAGAACTAGTTTCCCAACATCGGAATCAGCAAATGTTTTTGGCCTATTCTCACATCTTTTCATGTGACAAATTAAAGTTGAAGTGCCACTGAGACTCCCACCACCCACAAGGTCTTTCTTACAATACTTGCATTTAGCCCTCATTTTCCCATTAGGATGTTTAATAGGTTTTTCAAAGTAACTCCACACAGAAGATGAAAGACTCCTACACCTTTTAACTGGCATTTTAGACTCACCAAGTTCATCTTCTTCATTAGCTAAAATGTTATTCTGCTCTACATCATCATTAACCTCAACACTTCCATCTAACAAATTCTCAAAAGATTCTATAGTGCAATAATTAAAGCTGAAATCATTAAACCAAAATTTTCTTATTATCCTACACCTTTTGTGCATTATCACAACTAACTAGAGGGAGTGCAGAGAGAGAAGGGAAATAAAAAGGGACTCGTGAGAGGTAATCAGGAAACAACATCAAGGTGTGGGTCTCTCTCTCTTTGTATTTCTTGCAAAAGAATCAAACACTAACCCAACCCCTACCCCTACTTACTACACATTCATTAGTGCCCACAACTCTTTCTTTTTTTTCATTTTCCCTCGCAGGCCCCATGCATATATGTGCTACCTTCACATTATCCTACCTAGCTCACTAATTAATTAACTAATCATTCTTTCACACAACCATTCTAATTTAGTTGGTCACTCTCTAAATAATATGAAAAAACTTTTACACTTTATGTATAATTTTAATAAAATTTATTCGATTACAATATTGAAGAATGATTCTAGCTTTTGCGTGACCTTGTACACTTTGAATTCACTGTCTATATGTATCACCAACTTTGATTGATTAACTAATGATATTAAAAGATTAAAAGAAGCCATTGATGATTAACATGAATCAGAATCAGCAATAAAAAAATTCTTATTTCCATTTTTAATTGAAACTTGTTTATTCAATGTATTACTTAATAGGATTTAACATGAATCAGAATCAACAATAAAAAAAATTCTTATTCCTCCTCCATGATGAATTTTAATTCAAATAAATAATATAAATAATTTATTTCCTACTTTCAATATCCTATTTCTTCACACCCTAAGTAAAAAAGAGGAATAAAAAAGTTTAATAAATTTACCTATTGGTGCAACAAGAACCATTGTTGGTCCGTTACAGAGAACTTGCAAGTGTGCAACAACCAATAAGAAGAAGGAAGGACTCAAGAGTCAAGACGGAGAAAGCTGCCAGCCACGATTCACGAACCAGGGAGCACGAATAATCTTAATCTATGGTGGTCGGTGGAGTCATAAAAGCTTCCAGCCACGAACCAAGGAGGCAAGGAGCATGACTGCACGAGAAGGAAGGATTAGAGTGAGGCCGTGCGATGCGGATAACAGAAGCAAAAGCGGATTATGAAGGGGCGGTGGAAAAGTGAAAACACACGCAAGGGAAAGGGCTCAGTCGCGCAAGGCACTAAAGGCAGCAAAGATGAAAGGAATTAATTTATGAATTAGGGTTTTTAAGTGTCCACATTAAAACGGGTAATCCACGGGCTCGCGGATTAAATCCGCAAAATTCGCGGACTTAACGGGCCAGACCTAAAAGTCCATATGATTATGCGGATTAAAAAAAATGGACCCGTTATCCGTGAAGTTCGCGGACTTACAGACCGGTCCGCGGACTCAAGTCCATATACCCACCCCTAGGTAGGAGCACATTAGCTCACGATTTCACTTTTGGCATCAATTATGATTAAGGGTATGCACCAGAGAGAAATAAGAAGGAAAAATGAAATAAGTTATGTAATAAATTAAAAATATTTTATGTGTAGAAGCTCTCTTTTATCAGCTTCTTCAAAATCTTATTTTTAATCTATGCACAGGTTAGTTTTTGTTCATGGAAGGGTTTATTTTGATTTTCTTTCTTATTTTTTTTCTTTTAGAAGTGCTTGTAGAGATGTTTATCCAAATAGACCCTAATTGGGATTTGGGACAAAGAAAGAAATTTTTTTGATTTATATCCATTTTGGTTTCTTGTATATAGAATTGAGTTTATAAAAAATATTTCTAATATATTTCTAGTGGCATCGACACTACCTTTTCTTCTAACAACTTTTGACGAAGGTTCTTAATTCTCATTGTAGCTCAGTGTTGTTAAACGCGACGCCATAACGGTATGGTGACGGCGACCGCGATCTGTTATGACCGTTTAGACTGTGTATGGCGGGGATCCGTCATTTTGAAGATGACGGTCATTACGGCAGTTTAGGCATAGCGATCCATGGCGTGAATGGCGAACATGACACCATTTTGGGCCTTTTTTTTTTTTGATTTGGGTCATTTTTTTTTTCTTTTCCGGTTTGGGCCCGGGTTTTTTTCCCGGTTGGGCACCCAACATATAAAATAGGGTTGAAGAAACCTAATACATATTAGCCTCTCTTCCGTGCAACCCGCGGACAAGACCCCCTTGTCACCGTCGCCTCCGCCTGCCACCATCGCCTCCGCCTGCCACCATCGCCTCCGACGCAGCTGCCACCGTCGCCTCCGATGCGGCCGCCACCATCACGTACGGCGTGACTTTCTTCTCCCCCTCCGCGTGCACCACTATCGCGCCACCCTAACCTCCGCGCGCGCCACCGTCACCTTCGAGCGCGCCACCGTTACCTCCGACGAGACTTTCTTCCTCCTAGTTCTTCCTCCGCGTGTGATAGATTCTCACTCCGCACGCCTCCTCTTTTGAGTTCTGCCATCGCCGCTGCCATTTAATCCTTTTGTTGGTTAGGAATTTATGTTTCTTTATGATGACTATCACTAGATTATGCATGAATTTTAGATTGTTATATTGTTGGTTTTAATATGTTTGTTACCTCCATGGCAATATGGCACTTAAAGGTCTTTGTCGCCATCCGCCGTACTGATAACCTTGTTGTAGCTTATATTGAATGAGCTGCACTATCTTTTTCTTATAACAACTTTGTGACAAAGGTTCTTAATCCTCGTTGTATTCCAGGCTGAGTTAGAAATATAACAATTCTATCTTATGCTTCTTCTTTTATTTGTGTATAGAATATCTGTTAATATTGCTTCAAAATGGGAAAGTTGGGGAAGAAGGCAAGGAAGTTTGCAAAAAAGAATTTGCAGTCAGTTTTGAGGAACAAAAGGAAGTTAAACTCCAAGTTCAAAAAGAAAGCATCAAAAAGTGAGGATTTTACATTATTATAGATAGAAGTATCTCTTTATCTGTTATTCTAAACACTTGCTTTCGTGTTATCTTTCATATTATTTTAACACACTTCAGTTTATCCCTACACGCTGATTGCACTTAGGATTTTTTATTCTGATATATATATATATATATATATATATATATAATTATACATATGTATGCATAAAACCCTTTTCCAAATCCTAGAAATATCCAATTTTATCTTTACTCTATTCTACAGGTATGGACAAATATATATATATATATATATATTTTAGTGGTTGTATTGCCTCTGAATGCTGGTTCACATTTGTGGGACAGGGTAAGATATATTTTAGAAATTATGGAAAATACCCACCTAGCTTCTTGAAATTAGACCAAGGGAGGCAAATATTCCTAAATATAATTTTGAGGAATTCTTGTTTGAACATTTCCTAGTCCCCACCATGAATGAAGCCTGGAAATAGATAACCAAGTACTTGAATTTAAAAAGAAAAAATTTCAACCTTTTTAAAGGCTGCAAGATTGAAATGTTACTGTATTTTTGGTTTACTTCTATTGGAATGCATCAATATATACTATTTCTCATATTTTATGGTTTGTTCTACATCTATTTTTCCTTTTGGTTTTTAATTTGTTCAGTACCAGTTTTTCTTTTTCTTCTTGTTACAAAATCTTAATTTTCCTGTATACTATATCAAGTATTTATTTATGTTTTGGACTAATTGAAACTAGTCATTTGCTTGACAAATATTTCATGTTGGGACCCAAATTGGGAAATGTGAAATCAGCCGTATCATGTTTGTTTTCTTTGAGTGTATGGAGCGTTACACCATGTGACATAAGAATTTTCCTTCTATTGGGATGAATTTGGCAGGAAGTGCCTGTTGAAGGGAATTAAGGAAAAAAATGTTCTGGGACATATAAAAACTGACAGAATAAAAATATTTAGTTTTTATTTTTTTTATTATTATTACTCCACTGCGTAATGGAATGGCTTACATACAGTGTTGCCAATCATGAACAGTGAAAAGACAGCCTGGCCTTAGATTTATGTCAGATGACAACGATAGTAATATCTATATATTGATAGAGAGAGAGAGAGAGGGGTGGGGGGAGACAGCAACGTGTTTTGCAGTTGTTTCTTTGGGAGTATCCAAGACAGAGTAGTGTTTGCTGGATACAGAGGATGGCTTTTGCAGAAGCTAAGGAGATAATTTTACACAGATCAAGAATATGATGGTCAAATGAAGCGTTCTTTCCATGTTTTTAGCAAGACTTGCTGGAAACTTGAATACTATTTACTCTGTCCCTTGCAATTTCATATCAAACTTTTCTAGAAGGATAGATTCATATCAAGGTTCAACCTAAGTCATTACTTGTCTTGCAATTGTTATAATACTAATCAAGGAATCAAAGGAAGAAGCGATTAATTCTACTTTAGTTTTGGAGATAGACTTTGAAATCAAAGGGTTTTGGCTTGTGTTGGAGCAAGATATAGAACATGCATTGTAATTTTAGCAATAAAGAAGAGTAAAATGATTTGGACATAAACATTGGAGAAGATGTCATACCACACCATCTGTTTCTAAGTTTAACTGTTTAAGTATCTAGTGCATGCATGAGGAATTTACTATGCCATGACAATTTGGTTGAGATTTTCAGGAAATTCACCATTGCCTTTTGCCATGGGACTGCCAATCTGCCATAAGCCACCATTTGACACTACTGGCTACATTTCTTTTAATATATTAAATCATGAAATCTTCGAAATACCTTAGGTGACCAGTATTTTGAGGTAGTTGATCAGGATGGATTATTGACATAGTTTAGCTATTTAAAAACATCCAACTCATTTCATTTCAGATCTGTTGTTTTGTAATTTTTGTATGGCTCTAGGGAGAAGATAATTGTTTTATGGCCTTCTAGTATATGTTTTCCAATTAATGTATTAATTCTTTGGGGCTTCTCATCAATTTAAATTTTTAATGTTTTGGAAAATTTTACTGCAAAAGGAGACAGTCAAGCTATTGAAGAAAACCTAGAGAGTGATACAACAAATGCATCAAATGAAAGGTAAAATGGTAACCTAAATACAATTTTTTAATGACTCTCTTCACATATCCTTGTTTGTATTACTACTACTCCGATGTCTAAAAAATCTTTTCCTTTTATCTGGTGAATTTTGATCTATGTGGGTTTTGCCCACTAAAGCTTTGTCTTAAGCCATACTAATAACTATTTACTATTCGTTTCTTATTAACAGAAACACAGTTGTTGAAGAATTTCAAAAAACTTCCCTTGATGCTGTATTTAGTGAAGACGACAGTGAGGTGCTTGGAGATAATTCAGACAGTGATGGATATTTTTCAGAGGTTTAAATTATAATTTATTGCTAAAACACTTGTTAATTTTAATTTTTCCTTTAGTTTAACTGTTGTATATTTGGTGTATTGATTTCTTGAGTTTGTGACCAGGACTCCAGCTTTTTGCATGCTATTGGAAGTGACGGTGAAATTGAAAATTATATTGGGAGTAAGGACATTTTTAGCTTTTCAGTTTAAAACTACATGCAATTTTCCCTCTTTGCTTGTGTTTCAAAAGACTTTTGATGCTTGTTTTTCTCAGAAAGCAATGGTGGTAGTTCCTTATCAGAGCAGAATAGAGATATTTGTACAGAACTTTTGAAGAAAGGGAAAAAGTTGAACAAATTGAAAGTGAAGGTGGTTTCTTTGTTTCTTATGGTTTTATGGTGGTTTTTGACAGAATCTTACTTTCTTTTAGGGGTGGAAAATGGATGGATTGGATACTTTTTTAGATGGATCATAATGGTTTAGATTAAAACAATCCATTAATCCATTAAAATTTCACTTAAAAATCCAATCCATCTAATCCATTTAAAGAAAAAAACCATTCAATCCATCCATTAACAATTTTTTCATGGATGGATATCCAATCGATCCATGAAAATAATGTTTTAATTTTTTTTTAAAAATATTTTTGAAATATTTTATTTCTCTATCCTTTTTTTTATTTTTATTTTTTTATAAACCATTATATTCCTATAGTCTTTTAAAATTCACTAGATTTTTTTTATGTCAAAATAATCTTTTAATATTTCAATCCAATAAACATCTCATATTGTAATCCAATGAATTTTGAAAAAGTAGTTGATGGATTACTAACCATCTATAAAATTAAATGGATGAATTGGATCCTATCCATTATGTATTTTTTTATTGTAATGGATGGATTTACTTGTGGATGGATTGGATGGATGATGAATAAATGGATTCTTTTGCTACCCCTACTTTCTTTATTTAAAACTTATTTCCTATTAAACAGAGAGAGGTTCATTATAATTTCATATTGGTGTTACATGGTGTATACTCTTTTATTTTGAATAATATTTTTTGTGAACAATTATGCCATGCTAGTGGCTTTTTTTCTTTTTATGGTAAAAGAAATTTTACTGGAAAGAAAGGATAGTACAGCTTAAAGGAGGATAAGAAATACACCAAGACAGAAAAAGGTTGAACTACCATGAACAAACCTAATAATATTATAAGGTGCTGTCTAGATAACAGTAATATGAGGTGAAAGTGTACAAAATACTGAGACTGAGGTTAAGCACAATATGGATCAATTATTGGGCTCCAACTGGGACAAGCCTAAGATTTGGAAGGTGTATACCCATAGGAAATAGAAGGGTGTAGAGAGTGAGTTACTTAGAACCTGGCCTGGCAGGTTGTTGTGCCATGCAGTGTGATATTAGGGAGAGTAGGAGAATAGTCGATTTCAGTTAGCCATTTTGGAAACTGTCAGTGAAATAGTTCTCTCAGGAGCCCAGGCCCTTGTGCTTTTTTCTTTTTTAAGAGCTCAGGCTCTCTTTTATTTTTCTATCAGTAATACATTTTGTTTTCTGGGGTTCCATCTTGAAGCATCTTGTGTTTGATGTTGAACCTTGTAAACTTTTGCTGTTCTGTACTTGAAACTTGTTGAGTTTAATAGGGTAGTAGATACATGCATTCTTTCTTACAGTGAGAAGCACTATGCAGACTTGTTAGCTCTGCAAGAATTAAACATATAAGATAGATGAAGGGAAGAGAAGCTTTAGTTGTCACTACTTTCAATGAATTTGGACTTGAATGTTTAAGTGCTGAATTTTATGCAGTGGCACATTATTATTTTTAATTTTTCACCTTGTTTGCTTCTAACAAATGAAGTATTTGCTTCTGTTTTTTGCCATTCAATGTTTCTTGCACAAATATCTAACTTAAATTTCTTTTTGAAATCTCCAGGATCCAGGGTTTTCTAAATTTCTAGAAAGTTATGATGTGGAGATTGAACGAACCGAAGATGAAGATATTGTGAGTTGGTTTATGGCTTATTTAATAAAAATGTGGAAAATACCCGTAGAAATTTTCGGTGAATAATTCACTAACTTTGAATTCTAGTCTGTTGGGGTTCAGTGGCGGAACTTGAATAAAAAATTTGGGGGTACCAAATTAATTTTTTATATATAAATTAATTTTTTTATTAATTAAAAATAATAAAATTCCTCATTTTTCTACTCAAAATAAACATGCATAATAATAAAATCCAAGAAAAGTATTATCATTGACTAATCATTTCATAAAATAATCATAAAGGGGAAATGAGCTTTTATTTAGTCCACCAAAAAGTCCAATGCAAATTCAAATTTGCAACGTAACTCAAAAGTCTTTTTTCTCTATTTTTTGCCACTGCCTATATGATTTCATTTGCACATCATAAGGAATGATAAACACAAAGACCATAGCTAAATGAGAAAAAGGGGAAACAAAACACATAGTGGCGGAGAAACAATAAGAGAAGAAAAATAATAAGTGAAAAATGGTATAGAAAAAATACCAGTGTGAAGGGCGAAGGCATCGGAGAGAAGAGAAGTCCTAGTTGACTAGTTCATAATGTTAGGAGGGGAGAGGAACTAGAAAACCATGGATGTGAGTGAGTGATTAAAAGAGAATTTTTGATTCAAGGAAAAGGCTTTCCAGCTTCCGCTTTTAGCTTTGGAGGCTTCTTTGAGAAGTTAACCGGGAGAGAGAGAATAGATTCAAACTTTTAATATTATTACAATTAATAATATAATAATATATAAATATAATATTAAAATATATTAGATTTTAGAAGGCTCCCCCCGTCCCTTAAAAGATCCGCCCCTGTTGGGGTTGTTAATGTATTTCACTATTGTTCCCTTTATAAGGCACTCACTTGGTGGACCATAGGTAATAGTGACAAGAATCATTTGTTTAGTTGGATTATGTGCTGAGAACTGAAATTCAATTGTGGTTGAATTTTCTTGTATTGCAGTTTTTTGTAGACTGTTAGTTATGTCAAACTGTTATTTTTGCCTAGGCACAATGAGGCCTTACGGAAGCATGTTATTGATGAATTATGGTGCATTTTGATGTGATATAGTGCTCCCCGAGATTCCACCCTTTGCATTTATTGTTGGTTGACTTCTTTTTTGGGTTTTAGACCTTGCATTCTGATTTCCTATATTTGCAGAGATTGGAAAACTCTCTTGGGAGTGTGATGGTGGCTTACTAAAGATAAGTTCAATAGGAGGAGGAATAGGTTGGGCAGTTGGGAATCAATGGATATTATTCAATGTAAATGAAAGGGAAGTTGGTGAAAAAGAAAAGTGTGTAGGGGGTTGGTTGGGAAAGGATCAGAGGGTAGTAGTGTCAGAATGATATCTTATTATTCTCTAGTGTTATTTTAAATGTTTCTTGGAATTTAATCATGTTTTAGAGCAAGCATGTAGCTCAGAGTAGGGCTATGCACAATAATTAAATACCAAATACTGCTTCTATTTCACTGGATATATAATTATTAAATGTTCTCTGACTTCTAACTTTTGACCTGACTGGCATTTCTGTTAATGATAATTGACTTTTTATTTATTTATTTTTTATTTTTTATAAATTACTTGTTTCAGAGTTCAGATGACGAAAAAATTTTAGATGTGCTGCAGCCAGTGGAGAACAACAATGCATGTGCTCATGTGGGTAAATTGTTGACTAGTGCGTCTGTCGATTCATTGTCTAAACTGGTCAAAGAACAGTGTAGTGTTCCTGCCCTCACTTGTCTCATAAATGCTTATAGGGCAGCATGCCACAATGATTTTGAAGTAACCAGTGTCAGTGGTTGTGTCTTTTCTCATGGCATTCAGAAGAGTGACACTTTCTGCAAGATATTAATGTTCATGCTACATGAGGCTGATACTACATTTAGGAGGTTATTAGGAATATCAACCTCTAGTTCCAGGAAGGAAAGTGTTCTGGAGCTAAAGAATACAACAAAATGGTTGTCTCTTAGACCACTTATTAAGTCTTACATAAGGAGTACTGTGTTTCTCCTGAACCAGGTCACTGACTGTGAAATATTGGCCTTCTCAATTTGTCGACTCAGAGCTTCAATCATTTTTCTATCTGCATTTCCATCTTTACTGCGCAATCTTCTTAAGGTATTCTTAAATTCATTAGTAGTAATAGATATTTGAAATTCATCCTTGCTTTATTTAACAGATGATGTTGGTCTAGACAGTCTAAGATAGAAGATTATCATATTTTCATTATTAGTTTCCAAGCTATAGTTCTAATGTTTCCTATATTATGTAATTTCTTTTAGCTACTTACTGTTTGTATGAATATCTTTCATTTGGAATTACAGTATTTGACTTGTATACCTACCTTGCAGCCCGTCTTACAAGAATTTTGTAAACTTTGTTTATAATTTATCAAAGAGTTTATAAAGTCAATTGACCCCCATTTTTTATTTGAAGAGCAATCAAATGTTTCTCCATTATAAAGATTGCCATGACATGACATTCAAATAGTAGCTATATGTTTCATCCAAATTGGTTGATGACTTGATAGCCGTGATCAGATTGTGGTCTGTGTTTAAAGTAAGATCTTATATATTTTCTTGGCCTTTTGGCCAAGATGTGTATAATGTCAATCAATCTCATGCCATGTAAAATCTTCCTTACCTTGCACTAAAATTTATTGCAGATTTCTGTTCATCTCTGGGCAACAGGCGTTGGATCTCTATCGTCACAGGCCTTTCTCATTATACAAGATATAGCTTCTGTGTTTAGCTCTAATTGGTTCGACGTCTGCTTTATCAAAACATACAATGCCTTCATTAGTCACTCGCAATTTGTTGAGCGGAAGTTTGAACATATACATTTTCTAAGGAACTCCTTTGTGGAGCTATGTTGTTTAGATATGCACAAGTCATCTAACAGAGCAAGGATATGTATAATGCATCTGGGTAAGATATTGCAGAAAGGGTGGCAAACCAAAAAGAAGGTAAGCTTTAAACAATTTTAATATTCATTGCCACTTTTTATTATTGACAAGTTAAATGTTCAGTCTTTTAAATAATTAATTAGCATGTGTAAGTTTTAGAGAAGCATAGCTGAGGAAAATTTTCTAATATTTTGCCTTAATGTTTTATGGACAGGAGGTGGTTAAGACAATTTGCAGTTGGCAGTATATCAATTGCATTGACCTCTGGGTGAAATTTATATCAGCTAACATAGATGATTTTGATCTTCAGCCATTGCTGTATATGATTGTTCAGATTATAAATGGAGTTGCTCTCTTGTTTCCTGGCCCTAGATATTTACCTCTGAGACTCAGATGTATCCAATGGCTTAATCATCTGTCTGGTTCTAGTGGGGTTTTCATCCCTGTTACATCATTGGTGCTGGATGTTTTAGAATACAAAATTACCAAGGATAGTGGTAAACATGGAAAAATTGTTCAACCTATGTCTACCATAAAGGTCAGAGATGATTTGTCAGGCAGTTATTTTTCTTTCAATTTTTTGCTCAGTTTATTTATTTATTATATCTTATATCACATGACCTCTTATTCCGTAGCACTTATTTGGATTAAAGTCATTTACTCAATTGTTGTAATTGACATTTTAATATTATTGCAGCTTCCAAAGCATTGGTTAAAATCACGTGATTTCCAAGAAGAGTGTGTCTCATCTGCCATTGAATTCCTTTCAGAGCACTTCGCACAGTGGAGCTACCATATATCTTTTCCTGAGCTGGCAACGGCTCCACTTATCCACCTCAAGAAGGTCTTTGAGAGAACTTCTATTGAGAGTTTCAGACGTGTTATCAAACGTTTCATTGATCAGGTTTAAGTTCTCATACAAGTGATCCTGTCTTCCTGTCCTTTTCTTTAGAGTAGATTACAATTACATGCCATCTTGAATTGACATTTAAATGAATGTCTTGCACACTGTAAGGCATGTTTGATCTTTAAACCCCAGCCACATAGCAAACTGGCAATTTTTTCTGCATTTTCTGTTAAGAGTATAGATCAACCTATTATGTCATTTTTGGGAGCCTTTCCTTGCTTGATGTTTAAATTACCCATCAATAAGTGTTTACTATTTAGGTTGTTTGAGACCCAGTTAAGTTCAATTCAACTGGGGTTGAAAAAATAGATACACTCACAAACTTTTACTTTTTCTGCATTGGAACGCTTGTTTTTCAGTTGAATGTGATTTTAAATTGGTATCCAAACATAAATTTAGTTTGTTGAACTCAGATGTTCTGAATTAACCATTTAATAGTTGATAGTATAATAATGCCAAAACATTTTTTCATTTGTTAAAAGCATAATTTCAATTATAGTAACCTCATCCACTTCTTTTTGCCTTTTCCTTTTGGGGCTGGGGGAGTTCAGGTGGAGATGAATATTGACTTTGTGCAAAAGAAAAGAGAAGAGGTGCCTTTCTCACCAAAGGATCAGCAGTCTGTTGAATCATTTCTTCAGGTTATCCCTCAGTTTCATTTGCCTCTGATTAGTCTTCTGATCATCAGTGTAACTAGATTAGTTAAACATCTGATTTGGCAGGTTGAAAAACGTAGCGGTAATACTCCATTCACACAATACTATAAAAGCATCATGAGCAAGGCTGCTTCTAGGAAATTGATTTCAGATAGAAAGGTATGATTGACTTCATCAATTGCTTCTTCTAGTGACTTTTTGTATGATCTTATTCATGCTATTTTGAGTCCTTACATTGTGATACCTAATTCTTAACATAGTGTTCAGTTGGAGAAAAATGGAGGGGTGGGGGGTGAATTTTTATAAATTTTTATTGTTTGGTTCAATTTTTAAGATGGGAGAAAAACCTCTCCTTAGCTAATTTTAGCCCCCCTCATATTGGGGGATTTGTAGGGGAGGGAGGAGTTTTAAAACATCTTAGTATAATGTTTAAAATATCTTGTTTTTAAATTCAAAATTATAAGGGCACAAAGTTAAATTAGTTTTTAAAGAATCCCTCCTTTCCCCTTGTGAACCAAACAAGAAAAAATCTATTTTTCCTCATAGTAGTCAATAGCGGTTGTCGCGGCCGCAATCGCGGCGCGTCGGAGCGGAGCGGCTCCGTGCCGCTTCAAAAAGTTTGTTGCGGAGCGTTTTGAAGGAGCGGTCGGAGCGGCCGCGAAAGCAGGGGCGCGTGGCGGCGCGATCGCGAGTAGGCGACGAAACTTCTCTTTTTTTTCCGGCGGATCTTCGTCGGTCTGTCTTCTTCGACAGCGGTGCTGTCTTCTCCGACAGCGGTGCTGTCTTCTCCGACAGCGGCGCTGTCTTCTCCGACAGCGGCTGTCTTCTCCGACAGCGGTTGTCTTCTCCGACAGCGGCGCAGTCTTCTCCGATGGTGGCTCAGTCTTCTCCAGCATCTACAGTCTTGTCTTCTTCTAAGAGGAGCGGTGACGGCTGCTTGAGTCTCAAGGTGGAAAAATAATTAGGGTTAGGCCAAATGGGCCAAATGGGCCAAGTTTTATTTTATCTTTTAATTTGATTAAGGGCCTTTTACTTCACTATTTTTTTTTGAAAATAACTTCTCTTTATTATTAATTCAGATAATATTTTAAGTAATAAAAAATTTAATATAAGACCTTAAATATTTTGTTTTCTTATTTTTTTTTATTTTGTTTACTTCACTATGAATTTTTAATTATTAAAAATGTTTAATACATGAATTTAGAATTATTTTTTGTTTTTTTTAGCTTTTATATATATATTATTAATTATTTAATATATATAAATTAATATTAAAATAGCGGTTATCCCGCTCCGCGTCCTCCCGCTATCCCAGTTTTAGGGTGGACCGCTCCGCTCCGCTATCCGGGATTGACTACTATGTTTTTCCTTGCCTTTGCTCCTTTGAACCAAACAAACTTTAAGGGGGTTTTTGGCAGGGAAGAAGTTTTTTCATACCCATAAATAATGATTCCTGGAAGTTACAAATCCTAGGAATCATGATTCCCGGGAGTGGCTAATATATATTTGGTTACTCAAAATCTTTTGCGAATATTCATATAGGATTTCCAATAATTATAAATTTTCTTGTTTGGTTACAATAATATATTTATGGATTTATAAATATTTTTAACAAAAATATCCTTTATTTAAATAAACTCATTAGATATATTTATTTACTCAAATCTTATTACAAATGACATTAAACTATTTAAAAAAGTTAAAAAAATATTAAAATTATTTAAATACAGAATTCAAAAGAAAAGAATAAAAAGAAAATATTACATTATAATTAAGAAGAATAAAAATATATTATTTCGTTTTATTCAAATAATAAATAAAAAATAATAGTGTTAACAAATACCATTAAAATGTAGAAACAAAATAGACTTTAATAATATTATTAAAATTGACAAGGTTAAGAAATGATGAGATACAAGAATGAGAGAAGGAAATAGGGATATGGGAGGGGGAGAGAGAGGGGAGGCGGAGAGAGGGAGGGGGAGAGAGAGGGGAGGCGGAGAGAGGGAGAGGGATAGAGGAAGGGAGAGAGAAAGAGAGGGAGAAAGAGAAATAGAAGGAGAGAGAGATATTTTGTTTTCAAAAGGGATACTGTGGTTTTTTTGTATGCATAAAACTTTCTCTTTTAACTCGAGAAAATTGGATTCCCACCTCCATGATAATGTTTTTGTAGGAAAGTTGGATAAAAATGGTCTCCATAAAAATATATTCCTAAAAATTTCTTTTTTTAAAAAATAACAACTAAATATAAATAAACAAGATTTCCAATTTAAGATTCCTAAGAAAGTAAAAACATTTCGTGTCCCCTAAGTGTTTGTTTGAGGGATATCTCTTTTACCTCTTGGGGGATACCTTTCCTTGCAATGAATTGAATAAGAAAATTGACAAATGAGTCTTTGTGGACGGTGATACAGATTGAAGCATTATTAAGGTATCAAAGACATCTCAATAAGGTTGGAGAACAAAGTAGTGATGGTATAGACTATTAATGCTGAATTTATTATTGGCAAATATTTATTTGTTCAACAGGTGCTATATTTGTCCCCTATGTGCATTTATATCCACTGTAATAAGAGTTTTTATGGGTTGTTGGTTATTCGTTAATCACAAGTTTATCATTGACTACGAGCTTCACAAAACATGTTTTTTTGGGTAGAGTATAAACATAATAATCAAGTAGTATACTTTTCCATGCATATAATCAGTTCATTGTTCTTGTAATCAATTACTGTTACGGTTGAAGCAAAACTCTTTGTAATGTGGTGATTGATTATGTGATTTCGTAAAACCTAAGATGGAATGGATGGTGAATTTTGTGAGTGCTTCTTTATGGTGACTTTGATAATGACAAAAAGTCATCAAGATGTGACAATGTTGGGAACTGACACCTTCTACCCCACATGTAATTAATTATACAATAAATGGAAATAAATGAAATCCTTTATAATTTAAAAACCAAATCTTCAATCACATAAAGGTAAAGAACTCACATTTGTAAGCATAAATCATAATACGCCAGCAAAATTTTCTAAGAAATGAACTAAAGTTTTCAAAATGATTTAACAAAATAATATCCTAAACTAGTCCTATCTATGTTCTGATGTCACATGTCCTATCAGAACACGTCCAATACTGAAATCACCAACATCCTCATGTTGATGATCACCTGCAACACAATAGAGACATACACAAAACAACAAGGGAGTGAGAAATACCTCACTTAGGTTCAGGTGTAGAAATAATAGTTAGGTAACCAAACACACAATCAGACATAAGATAATAATACATACATAAACATTCAATTCAAACAAGTTATAACACGTTCACAAGTCACTTATCATGCAATGATGTCATGAACTCATAGATGCATGCATGTGGCACCAATCATGTGTCACTTCATCACATATGACATTGTATGCTGTCGAAGCAACATATCTGAAGTATTCTAGGAGTACATGCAGGCTCAACTGTTTACTCTCAACTAGAAAGATGTATTGCTAGGGTCTTGCTGGGATAGTGAAGTTGTGCAAGATATGTCCCATGCACACAACGGCCAGAATTGGGACTTCCAAGCCATGTTATTCCCTAGGATTCCCTCAAGTTGTTACACAAGGAGGGTCTTCCCTAATGGTGTACTCCACATCATATCCCGTCACATAAATGCATATGCTGCAAGTCTCACACATTCATAATGTCACAGACTCTTCACTTTACTTGTCATATCATGTCATGTCTCATATCACATTTCACATCCTCATATCCATGTTCATAGTCACATACATAGTAATCCTTCCCACACTTGGTGGGCTCTCCACGTGCCTGACGCGAAAGTCCCTAGGGACTTATGTCGCCAAATCATCAATCTGTGCACGGCACGAATAATTGTGCTCGATGTCTCAGCACGAACCTGCAATTCCAACTTCGCAATCACGCGATTTTCACATTTATGCATATATTCATACAATCTAATTGGTACAAATACTTAAAACAACATCCAAAATACAATTAATACTCAATTTAGCCTAAACACTTCAATTATACCAATTTAGCCTAAAAACCCATAGAGCACTCTAAATCATATCAAAACATCCAATATTATAATTAAACATATATTCATGCTCACAATCCATCAAGGAACCCATCAAAAGCATCAAATGTTAAAACTGAAAACATTCACAATTTGCCTGTTCCTTTAGGCATGCATCAGGTGAGGATCAATCTTACTATCCAACAGATATCCCCGCACTCCAAGCGAGGTTTCTCACTCCCCCTTACCTTGGTGGGTAGAAGTCGAAGCACGAGCAGTTTTCCTGGTTTTCCCTGGTCTTTAGAGAGCATAAAAAGGAAATGAATAGAAAGAAAATGAGTTTGTGAAATTGACTTTGATAACTCCCTTTTACTCAATTAATAAAATAATAAAATAATAATAGTAATTAGTAAATTACTGCAATGTCCTTCCTTCCCTTTCTCACAAAATAATTAGTATAATTAAAACATACTTCCTCTCCAATAAAATAACATAAGTATAATTCTTAATAAAATACATTTTATAAAACTTGTCTCATTTAAATAATCAAATATATTAATCAAAATCATATTTTATATTAAAATAGAGCCCTCTAATTGAATAGTATCAAAATTCCTTTAATAAACTCATTTAAAATATTAAAATAACTACCAAAATATTTTTAACACAACATGAAAATCGGGGGGGTTACTGGACTGCAAGAAATCTATTTGGAATTGTTGCATTTAAATTTAAAACTCTGGTTGATAATTGACATGTTTTAAAACTGGTTGCATTGCGATTGCCAAAATTGCAGTAAGCTGCGGGTAAATTTTGTTAATGCAACTGCAATCGTGGCCACAATTCCTGTGGATGCCAGTGAGAATCTGGATGCCCTTGTTTGGGAAACGGCCGAAAGTGTGAAGGTGTGCTGGAAGATGAGGTATCTGAACAGAGATTCTTTGGATGGTTGGCGATTGAGTCTTACCGTTACGGACAACGAAAGCAAAATAGGTGGAGCAGGACCAAACCCACTCTGATAATTGAAGATTTGGACTAAGAAACTAGTGAAATGCTTGAGTGGTATCTCTCTCAGAGACAGAGTGACGAACTGACACTCTTCTGATTACTCTGTCGTTATGTTTACAAGAAGAATAAACACAAGCGCAATTACCTATGTACATAAATAAAAACTTTGCTTTATATGCAGCTATTTTAAGTAGATTTCTTGCAGTTCCCAAACAATGTGATATCTTGATTAACTGGTCATTTTAAGTCACCAGAAAGTAAGCATTCACAAAATTCACCATTTATCCCACCGTAAATTTACATGAGTAATAATTTGCATTGTTGAGTATGAGGTTCTCAACTTTTATCTTACTCAATAATACGGAGTCAATGCTATAATCCCTAGGGAAGACGAGATTAATTTTATGGTCATCAATTTACCGAGGAAGAGGAGACACATTTGTATATATTATGATTTTTAAAGTATATATTATGAATTTTAAATTTAAATCATTAAGTATTGTGTTTCTAACATTATCCATGATCTATGTTACAGTCTCCTGGCAAAAGAAAGAAGAAAATGGTACATCCATATGGCAACGTTGAAGTGGTTGCTACTGACTCCTGAAAGGATTATTGCTTATTTTCTTTCATGATCCAATTCTACAGGAGGTTGAAGAAACCAGATTTTTGTAGTCTTCAGGTGTAGAAATTTTCATGTGAAATGTAAACGTTGACGAATACAGTTCTATTTATTGGACCCATTGAGCGTTATTTTGAAATATTGGTTCTAGATTTTGTTGTATCGAGTCCCGCGGCTTTAAACTTAAAGTAATACAAGAGGTTGAATTCTTGCATTTTCTCGGAGATGACAAAGCTGTATTACTCTGTGGGTGTGGGTATTTGCGTATAGGCAGACAATATCAACATGTAGTGGGTGTTTAAATCCAACCCTCTCAAAACAATAGCAAATCAATTATGTACTTTAAAAAAACTACATCAAGAAAATATATTATAAAAATATTTTTGTAATGGTTTAAAAAGCGGTGTCAAATAAAGAAATTAAATTTTTTTTTTCACTAGAAGTGGGAAAATGATGTTAAAAAAAGTGAAAAAAAATTAAAGAATGAATTATTATACAAAAGGTGAAAAATAAATATTTTTTTTAGGTTAGAAGTGAGTATTTAGTTTTTTCAAGCTTGAGGTGAGTATTCTTTGCTAGCTTCTCTAAACTTGAGGTGAGTAGATGTCGACGCCCTTTATGAAGATGAATGTCATGATGTGAGTATTGTTTGCTAGACTTTCTAGGCTTGAGATGAGTAGATGTCAATGCCCTTTATGAAGGTAGATGTAGTAACCTTTGGCAGAATCGTGTTCTGGTGATCCTAGTGCCATTCTTTGATTTGAGGAACTTGGTGGTGTCTTTCAATTGATGTTTGAAGAGTGCTTTTGGGGTTGATGGGCAAGGGATGCCTGGAATGCCTTTGTTTTTGGTTGAGATTAGTAGGATGTTGGTGATGCCTTGCTAGGTGAGTATTATGATCCCTCTCCAAATATCTTGTACTAGGGAATGGATGGATGATAGATATTCTGGTGTTGCCTCTATTGCGTGAGTATTGTGATGCCTCTTCAAACATCTTCATTGGGGGATGAAATATGTGGCAGGGATTCTAGTGTTGTTCCTGCTGTGTGAGTATTGTGATGCCTCTCTAGGCGTTTGGGGATGTATGGTAAGAATTTTGTATTCTTCCCATCATACGAGTATTATGATGCCTCTCCAAGCATCTTCTGGGGATTTTTCTAATTGGTGATTGGTTGGTAGAAATCTAGTGCTGCTCTTGCGAGGTGAGTATTATGATGCCTTTCTAGACGTCCGTCGTAATGATGACTATTATTATGTCGACCTTTCCGGGATGCTTGTTGTGATGTTGAGTATTGTTATGCCAACCTCTCTAGGCTACCTGCTTTGGTGATGAGTATTATTGTGTCGGTCTCTTCAAGCCGTCTACTTGTGATGATGTGATATGATGGATATTTTGTAGGTAGCGCCCTTATGCTGGTGGGCAAAAGATTGTCCTCTTGATGTGTGATTGTTGATTGCCGAGGTGAATCCATGTGGATGTACTGTGGGAGTGTTGTTTGGGGTGGTGCTCATTGAAGTGATGTCTTGACCACCAGAAGGTAGGTGTGGATGTCTTGATTTTTCTATTGGAGTTATCGGGGTGTTGAGGAATGATTACTAGAGGGCAAGTAAGCTCCTATGGTGATGTGGTATTTGCTGATGTGGCTTGAGGTGTCGTGGTTGTCTTGTAGGCTTTTACTGGTCCTGATCTTGTCGAGTTTAGATGTTTGGCTTGATTGGGTTGATGGATCGTTGTTGTGGGGAGACTTTACCCCTTGCTTGGTAGTTGAATCCCCGTGCTGAGGATCTTTCTAAGTCTTGATTTTATTATGATTTTAGCTTCGACCTTTTCTTCTATTAAAGCTTTGCCTTTTTCTGTATTGTCATTTCCTGTCACTATTGGTGGAGAGATCCCTTCTCGATGGTGACGATGCTTGTTGGTTCTTTATTGATAAGTATTATTTTGAAAGCTACTCTTAGCTTTGGTGAGGAAATTATTCCTAGTCTTGGCATTCTCTTGAATCATCCTTGATTCAGTTGAAGGGTATAGCTCAGTCAAAGATAGAATAAAGCGTGATGACCTCTTCGTGCTTGTAGGCTCACTTATTCTTCCTTAGCAAGTTCTACTCTATCTTACTATTGACGTGTCTTTCTTTGCTGGGTGGCTATACAGAACCACTTATAAGGAGTGATCCTGTTGGGCTAGGCTTCTGACATGGTTTCAGCTCTTGAGGCCTTGCCTGGCTGTTGAGCTTTTTATGAGTGCTTCGGCCTGATGATTTCCTTAACCTATAGTGGTAGAATTAAGCAAGAAATGCAATGATGCAAAAGAAAATGCAAAGCAGGGATGATTTTTTTTTCTTCATTTTTTTTATCGAAAGTGAACTTATACCCTTTTGTGCACACTTGTGCCATATGCATGCAATGTGTTAGTGTATCTATGCTAATGCTTAAAATGCAGATTGATTTTTCTTTCAAGAAATTAATCTATGCACATTAATTATTGGCGTGGATTGTTAGTCTTTAGTCGTGTCGAATTCATTCTAGGTGTTGCTTCTTGAACCCGAGGACTGTGCCATTTTGGACCTCTTACCTATGATACGTTAGCTATTAAATCAGGTGTACCTAGACTCTGTTCTAGGACACCTCCAACTTCTCCTTGTGAGTGTTTACTGTGCACTCTCCGTATATCTCTCAATATTACCTTAATGCCATATAGGTCAAGAGAAATGAAAGGAAGAGGATATATATTTTTTGTAAAAGGCTTGTTAGAAGGGATTTTTCAAAAATGGTTTAGAAGCCTGACTGGTCAAGGTAGGCTAGTGTTTAGGTTAATAAACAAAGTATATCTGTTATAGGGGAGTTGTCTTAGTGCTTAGCCTTTTTTTTTAGAAATCGGATGATGACTTGGGGTTGTGCTTTGATTGAATGATTCCCCCCAGAGTCGCCATTCGATTTTCAAGTCAAGTTGCTGCTTTATAGTCTTAACTTTTGCCTAGGTCACTTGAAATGTTTTCCCTAGGACATTTTTCTTTTGATCCTTTTTTTTGCTTAAGTTACCTTTTTTGCTTGTGGGTCTCCTAGCATACCTTGCCCTAATTTTTGCACAACCCCCTTAGTGGATTTCCTGCCGAGCTTTTATTTTTGCAGCGTTTGTTTGGGGATGTGAAATGATCTTAATTTGATTTTATTAACCCTAGTCAATTTGGAATTGCACGATCATTCCTTTATTGTATTTTCCAACTTTAGTGTATGTTAGGCTATTGTTTGAGTGATGTCCCTATTCCGAATAGGCTTTGTTTATTACAAGTTAATGAGTGAGGCTTAGAGTAAATGCTTTAGAGAAAGAAAATAAGTAAAATAGAGAAAGTGTATGGCATTAAAATAATATCTTGATTTACACGTGCCCTTTTAATGTAGCTCGAGGCCCGGGCATGCCTCGAGTTCGTGATTCTTACATAGAGAAAAGAGGGAGGGTGCCCCTTAGACAGGTTTGACACATTTAAGCCTTCTTTTGATGTTTGTATGCCAGAACTTTGAAAACTCTTCATGCAAAAGGGAGATGTCTCAATTTTTCCTCCCTTAAAAATGCAACTGACTCGTATCTTGAACCCCGTTGTTTGGGTTGTCTCGAAAGTGCAGTAGCTTTGTTATTCCATGAACATCTTTATCCAGCCTTTTTCTTGGCTGGTACCCTTTTTGTGCCATTAAGCTTCCATTGCTTAGGACCTGTCCTTGTGAACGATCCCTAGCATTTCCTCGGTCGTATCCATATATAAGTTGGCAAATGGATTGTTGATGAGTAGTTCTTCCTTAGCTTAAACCATTATTGACTTGTCATCTGCTATTAACTTATTCT